AAACTGGATCAAACTGGATCAAGAATAATTATTATGAGACGTTTTTTCTTTTGTCTTTACTATTTTTGTTTCACACAAATATATCTTGAGTTTGTCCAGTCTAAGTTTAGTCCAGTCTAAGTTTAGTCCAGTCGAAGTTTAGTCCAGTCTAAGTTTAGTCCAGTCGAAGTTTAGTCCAGTCGAAGTTTAGTCGAGTCTAAGTTTAGTCCAGTCTAAGTTTAGTCCAGTCTAAGTTCAGTCCAGTCCCACAGTCTGGAGGCTCAGTCCAGGTTGAGTCCAGTTCAGGGCAGGTCTGATATGTTTATCTCAGTTGAACATTAAATATTCATGTTTTGATCAGACTCAGAAACACAGGAGGGACTGAGATCCTGAAACATAGACCTTTGTATCGAAGGAAGAAGAGGCAATAACACCACAACACACGGAAGAAGAGGCAATAACACCACAACACACGGAAGAAGAGGCAATAACACCACAACACACGGAAGAAGAGGCAATAACACCACAACACACCACTGACGGGGAGGAGGAGGGTTGTTGCACGAGGAGCACCTTGAAGCTGCTGGACTGAGAGGTTCTGTTTATATGCAGCTGTGCAGTGATGCTGAGGTGCGTGTGTGTGTCTGTGTGTGTGTGTCTGTGTGTGTGTATGTGTGTGTGTGTATTGTGTGTGTGTGTCTGTGTGTGTGTGCCGGTTTGAGACTGGTTTGAGACTGGTTTAGTCATGCTAAGTCATGGCCCAGTTCTTTTTTCTGTGACTTGACTTTTGGTCCTGATGCTGCGTTTTTTCTCCAGTGTAACCATGTGTAACCATGTGTAACCATGTGTAACCATGTGTTTGGTCTTTGGCCCTTGATAGTCCTGGATCCACTCCTGGTCTGGACCAGATTTTCCACTTAGACAAATCCGTCCATCTTCGATCGCAGCAAACAAACTCCTTCGTTCCTTATCTCTGTGGAATCCTCTCAGACCTACTTTTTCTGCCTTTTCTCGTGTTATGGATAATTTAAAAGGTTTCTCAAAATGGCCTCAGACGGACGCCGTGGAAACGCTCTTTCTTCATCCTCCTGAAGGAACGCCGCCTCCCACCCTGTGAGGAGCTGTGAGGAGCTGTGAGGAGCTGTAAGGAGCTGTGAGGAGCTGTAAGGAGCTGTGAGGAGCTGTAAGGAGCTGTAAGGAGCTGTAAGGAGCTGTAAGGAGCTGTAAGGAGCTGTGAGGAGCTGTAAGGAGCTGTGAGGAGCTGTGAGGAGCTGTGAGGAGCTGTGAGGAGCTGTAAGGAGCTGTGAGGAGCTGTGAGGAGCTGTGAGGAGCTGTGAGGAGCTGTGAGGAGCTGTGAGGAGCTGTAAGGAGCTGTAAGGAGCTGTGAGGAGCTGTAAGGAGCTGTGAGGAGCTGTAAGGAGCTGTAAGGAGCTGTAAGGAGCTGTAAGGAGCTGTGAGGAGCTGTGAGGAGCTGTGAGGAGCTGTAAGGAGCTGTGAGGAGCTGTGAGGAGCTGTGAGGAGCTGTAAGGAGCTGTAAGGAGCTGTAAGGAGCTGTGAGGAGCTGTAAGGAGCTGTAAGGAGCTGTAAGGAGCTGTGAGGAGCTGTGAGGAGCTGTAAGGAGCTGTAAGGAGCTGTAAGGAGCTGTGAGGAGCTGTAAGGAGCTGTAAGGAGCTGTAAGGAGCTGTGAGGAGCTGTGAGGAGCTGTAAGGAGCTGTGAGGAGCTGTAAGGAGCTGTGAGGAGCTGTAAGGAGCTGTAAGGAGCTGTAAGGAGCTGTGAGGAGCTGTAAGGAGCTGTAAGGAGCTGTAAGGAGCTGTGAGGAGCTGTGAGGAGCTGTAAGGAGCTGTGAGGAGCTGTGAGGAGCTGTGAGGACCTGTAAGGAGC